AGTCTTTTTCGTAACCACCAATGTGCAACCATATTTTATATTCCGAACATTACGTTAAGTATATCGACGACTGCAGTATTCTACACAGACTTTGAACTAGTTCTCGCCTTGCAAATTTATTGAGAAATAATGAGGGGATCCTGTCGAATACTAACTACGAGTAGGTATAATGCTCGATGAACAAATAGGCACGATCAACACTCAACGGAAAGAAAGACCGGGCTATTATATTTTTATTAGCCGCTACTGCGGTTGCTCGTTATCCATAAACGAAGGGTAATTACGCGGTGAATCGTCTATTGTTTCGATGCGGAGCGCTTAGTAGGCTGGTAATTAAGCGGTATTTTCGATTGTTTACCCGGTGTTTGCTCTCTAGTTGCATTGAATTCTAATTGAAAGTCTAATTGAAAACATGAAGAAACTTTTATATATAACGTCATTTTTTACCCGAAACAGCAAATAGTAATTAAGGTACCCAGGGGTAATTTTTGTCCTCTGTGATGCGTTCTGTTTTGGTTTTGTATGTCTTCTCTTATTTCTTTTTTAATTTTTGAATTTTTCATGCTCCTACAAAATGTAAAAAGCAAAAAAACTTCCAAAATGTGACTTTTGAAGGGCTGTAATAATGGTCGTGTCGAGAAGAAAAAGAAGTTTGAAGATTCTAGTTCTGAAATTTTGAGATGAACAATTTTTTTGAGCATCACTCTCGGCTCAGTCAAAATAAATAATGCAAGGCTTTTTCTGCTGTTTTGGAAATATTGCGAAAAGTAGGTATAGTTATTACGATGTCAATTGGAACCTGTAAATCTTAAAGCACAGGATCGTATGCACTTCTCCTGAAATTTCTTCCTATGCTTTGACCATGATGTGTCTCGTAATTTATACTCGAATAGCAATTCGGCGAGTCCGGTATTGGTAAACTAGTTCGCCTGATATAGAATTGACGGCGGTGTGCTGATCATCAAAGCAAACCTGTATTGGCCCACTAGGTCATAAATATTTTTTTTTGTATGGTACACGGGTTCACTTAGCTTTGCCGCTTTGCCAGTGTAGTGCAGAGCATTGCTTGGCGGGGTATGTTGTTGGTATTATTATTTATTAGTTAATATTATTATTTGTTCATATCGTCACAGTAAAGGGTAATAGTTATTAAAATAAATGTTATATGTAATTATCTAGTAATTTAGCGTGGCTTTCTGGAGACTCTTCGAAGTGGAGGATAACGAAATAATTCAGGAAAATCCTCAAATAGTGGAACAGATTTTTGTGTCGAAAGTATCGAAAAAAACTCAGAGTTTAAAAACAAAGATTTACACGTAAAAAGTCAACGTATTATATTAAATATATATGAAGGTTTGAAAATTAAAAATAGTGAACAATGTGATAAAAAAAAGTTCGGAAACGTATTAACGAATTAACTAAGATATCAAAAACGAGAATTTATCGCGTAACTAAAGAAGGATTGATCACGGTACAAAGAGGAAACGGAAAAATACAAAATTAAAGAAAATTAACGATTTTACCAGATGTAATGCGGCTCACAATTTATAATATGTATAAAGAAAATAAAGTTCCTACTTTAAACATGATTCTAGATAAATTAAGCGATTATCCCGATTATAATTATAAATCTTTAAATATTTTACGACATTACAATGCGATTTTAAACATAAAAAACTTGACAATCGTATGGTAATATAGCTCGGAATATAGTATATCTAGACGAGACAGGGCTAAATTTTTCTGGAGGTCTATGGATTCCGTAGAATTTATGAGTTAAATGTTTTTATGTGGTTCCAATTGAGATCGTAACAACTATACCAATGTTTGTCTTTTACTTTTTTTTGTTTTTTTTTTTAATTTAAAAAAAAACTTTTTTTTCGACATTTGAAATAGTCAGTGTAAAGTTGTAAAAAAAGAACCGAAATTTTTAAAAAATTTGGCAAATTGTTTTTTTTTTCAAAATTTTTAATTTTTTTTCTTTCGATATTTGATAAGTATATAATACGAAATTGTGAGAAAAATAACGAAAATAAATTTGTCTCATCTTAATCATTAGTTGATGTTTAAGGAGCAATAAACTTGCTCAGGAAAGGAATACGGTTCGTTTCATAATTTACACACAAACATTGCTACTTTTTGCTATATTTTCAAAGTAATCGTTGATTTTCCAAAACAGCAAAAAAGTAATTTTTTGCACTTTTTCAAATAAATGCTGTATAAAAAAAAATCTCAAACATACCAAAAGGCCTTTGAAGAGAATTGATTTAGGTCTCTAAAACCTACCTTCCGTTCATGAAATATCGATGATAAAAAAAAATGTGACTTCGGGGTTTTCGTCGGCTAGTCATAGGCGTGTTCATCGTAAACAAATAAATAAACAGCTAAGTATAAATAAAAATAAATAATTTTGCGTGGTCCACATTATTAGAATAATAAAACACGTATACACGAAGCAAACGCGAAACCAATAACTGCCGTTATTACCGGTTTCGTACGATGCGTTGTAGTGAAAGGCCGACGCGACGACTATGATCATCCGACCAAGTCCCGAACTCTACTGATGAATCAGTCTAAATGACTCTGTCATTAATTAAACCAGAAAAAAAATTTCTGAGCTCACTTAAAAGAAAATTGTAAAATTTTTGCCTTCCAAAACTAGAATCTTCAAGCTTCAAGATACTTTTTTTTCTCGGGATGATCATTATTCACGAAGTTGTACATCCTTTCGAAAGTCACTAAAAGAAATTGTAAATTTTTCTACTAAAAAAAAACAATTCNTTTGAAATAGTCAGTGTAAAGTTGTAAAAAAAGGACCGAAAGTTTTCAAAAAAATTTGGCACAATTGTTTTTTTTTTCAAAATTTTTAATTTTTTTTCTTTCGATATTTGATAAGTATATAATACGAAATTGTGAGAAAAATAACGAAAATAAATTTGTCTCATCTTAATCATTAGTTGATGTTTAAGGAGCAATAAACTTGCTCAGCAAAGGAATACGGTTCGTTTCATAATTTACACACAAACATTGCTACTTTTTGCTATATTTTCAAAGTAGTCGTTGATTTTCCAAAACAGCAAAAAAGTAATTTTTTGCACTTTTTCAAATAAACGCTGAGTATAAAAAAAATTCTCAAACATACCAAAAGGCCTTTGAAGAGGATTGATTTAGGTCTCTAAAACCTACCTTCCGTTCGCTGTACGACCATTAGTTCATGAAATATCGATGATCAAAGAAAATGTGACTTCGGGGATTTCGTCGGCTAGTCATAGGCGTGTTCATCGTAAACAAATAAATAAACAGCTAAGTATAAATAAAAATAAATAAATTTGCGCGGTTCACATTATTAGAATAATAAAACACGAAACACGTATACACGAAGCAAACGCGAAGCCAATAACTGCCGTTATTATCGGTTTCGAACGATAAGCTGTAGCGAAAGGCCGACGCGACGGCTATGATCATCCGACCAAGTCCCGAACTCTACTGATGAATCAGTCTAAATGACTGGCATTAATTAAACCAGAAAAAAAAATTCTGAGCTCACTTAAAAGAAAATTGTAAAATTTTTGCTTTGCATTATTTCTTTTCAAAAAAATTGTTCATCTCAAAAATTCCAAAACTAGAATCTTCAATCTTCAAGATACTTTTTTCTCGGGATGATCATTATTCACGAAGTTGTACATCCTTTCGAAAGTCACTAAAAGAAATTGTAAATTTTTCTACTAAAAAAAAACAATTCCTGCTAATTATATACCATGGAGATAGGGTGCAATATTTTAATCCCCATGAATTGAAAGATATATTTTAGTCCTATGATATAAGTAGGTACGCTACTTTTTTGTCTTACGTATTGATATGTTAGAAATGTCACATTTGGATATAAATATATTTATAAATAATACATTTTTTATTTAAAAGATACACTTTCCTATCCGAACATAAACATTTTTATTCATGTTCATATAATCATAACTATCAACTTGAGTTTTGTTCTACGTCTCAAAGAAAGCTGATCACTCTGTACATACACAAAATTATTACTTTCCTTCAAATTTCATGTTAAAGCTGTGATACTTCTTTTTTGATATACATATCATATTTTTTATGTCGCTATATTAATCTACGACTCCGTTTCAATAGCCTGTCGCGTATAATTAAATTAGTATATCGGTCATTCCCCTATTAATCTTGGCTTTAATCTTTATACATATTCATAACTGCTCGATTAAATTGACAGTGAAATTAATTTTATGCCACTGGGTTACATTCTTTTCTCTTTCATATGGTTCGTGACATGAACTATTAACTAAATTAATAGTATCTAATTAACATTTAGTTGTAATATCAACGAAGTTTACACGTTTTGCTGAGCACAAGCCCGAGGATGACTAATTAATATGGTTAATTAAACTAATTCGAACTAAATTAGTTGAGAGCATTTCTAGTTGTCATTATTTTAGAATGAAAAGTTAATTTACAGATGGTTGTGTTTGATTTTACTTACTACATTTTATACAAATTCTATATTTTTAATAAAATACCGATTGTCAAAATATATTTAGATGTCTTGAAAAGACTTCGTTCAAAAAAGAATACTAATAACATTTTTTCGAAAATATATCCTACAGATTTATCAATGTTTAAAAATAATGTGTTTTATATATTTAATTATTATTAAATTCGAACCATATAGTACGTATCATTTCTAACAACAATTTGTTAAATTGCTTTTGATCAAAAAGTAGCAAACTGGTTTAATTATATGAAAATTGCATCAAACCAAAAAGTTAATGTCTTTCAAAAATTATGAAAATATAAATATCCATAAAAAATTTCACTATTACACGTTTCTTTTTTTTTAAATCATCCAAATTTTTTTTATTGTCAAACCTCAGAGACATGAAAAATAGTAACGTAGTAATAGTCCGTTTCACTGCGTCACAAGCACTAAAAAATGAAAACCGCCCACACTGCGCACTTCCCATCAAGATACCTACCGCAAAAATTTTCATCTCCAATTCGGGTAATTCGCCACACCACTGAGTAAAAACTACTGGACGATGTTCACCTGGTTTACAATTTATACCTAATTTAAAAAGGACACCCCATCGGGAGGTGGAAAATCCTGGTTTTGGAGCGTCTGCTATTGTTGTAGAAATGGGAGAATCCCCCCCTCTGCCCCGGCGCTGTCACGCGCCCGTGGCGCTTCTTTTTTGGTGGAGTTAACGCGTAGAAAGGTAAAAGTACGGAGACGACCTCAGGGGGAGGTGCGCTGGGAAAATGGTCGAGGCGCATAATTCTTTGCGGAGCCACTTTTGTATCTTCTTTTAGTTGGTACGCTTGAAGCAACAGGAAAAGTTTCAGTAGGATGATGTTAAGTCGCTTGACTCTTACAATATGAGAAGTGTAATTAGTGTTCTGATGATGGCAATAGATATAGTTTAGAAACGTCGCCTGATTGGTAAAGTGAGATGCGTTTTTCTGAATTTCTTTAATCTTTCTTAATGCAGATTTGGAACGTTGTGGTTATTGTTAGGAATACGTCAGCAAATATATTACTCTTTTTTTATTGAAATGATATACAGGGTGATTCACAAATGTTGACCAAAAATTAAACTTCGTATTCTTTGGTGAATTAAGGGAAGTTTTTATCTAGGACGCTTTGTTAAAAAGATACAGGGTGTTAGACTTCAAAAAATATTTTTACTTTTTTTAAAATAATTTGCAACTGGGCACACGTGTATATGTAAACATTGTCCAAAAATTTAGATGCTTCAGTGGGGGAGATACAGGGTATTGGTGGCATATTTTTCTATATAAAATAGTACGCCACTGCTTTACGGTATTCGTCTTTCATTTTCTACAAATTACTACTCTCTTATGTTTTTCGAAAAACGCCTGATTTTCGGGTAAAACTTAAAAACGAACTGAAAACACCTGAGCTCAACCCACTGGATTTCTTTTTGAGGAGTGCTGTTAAACGGCTGGTATATAGTGAATAAATTAATACACTTGAGCAGTTACAAGAAATTATTAAATAATAACGACTGTATCTTGAGCACACACTTCGGTGATTTAAAGAAAAGCCAAAGAAATTTGTATGTTAAAGTGTGTATAAAATTACTGGTATATAACAAGAGAAAGAAACAGAAATTGACTAACAATGTCGAACACGTGGAGTGAAATAAAGTGAGGTTAAATGTTAAATGAAATTGAAAATTGACATTCTACAATTCTAAGGATTACCAACTAAGTGAGAACAAAAATTTTTAAAGTTAAACTACCAATATACTAATAACAAACTATCAGCTGTGAATTAATGAGATTCCTAAAGATACTTGAATAAAGGTTTAAAATTACAATTTAAATTGACTTGAGTAGGATATGGATATGATTTAATTTTATTATTAGTTATTTAAAGAAAACAATAAAGCATAATCCAGAATTAAAAAAAGACAAAGTTTTAATAAACAACAAATATTTTCTTTAGAATTCTATTTTATAAGGTGCTCAAAGTGTTCACCATTTACCTCCTGACAGTAATGAATTCGCTGAACAAAGTTTTGTAGTGAATCTAAAACGATGTTGGCAGGAATAATGGAAATTTCATGCCTTATTCTTTTTGTAGACTACATTTTTTATGTGACCCTACAGAAAAAAGTCAATCGGGATCATATCGGGAAACCTAGCTGGTCATTCAATTGCCCCTCTGAGTCCAATCCATTTATCAGGAAAAGTTTCATCTAGATATGCCCGTACCACACGTTCAAAATGTGGAGAAGCCCCATCATGTTGAAACCATATCTGTTCTGCCTGTAAATTGGGATTGTTATTATTCGGGAATAATCGTTTAAGGTCTGTGCATTATGTGTTATATGAATTTTGTTTAAAATTTCGAGAAGAATTGGAGTATGGAATACTATACAGGGTGTTCCATTAAAAAAAGTAACTTTGTTTTGTCATGACTTTCAAAATTCAAAAAATTACTTTTATACGACAGAGGTACCTTTTGAATGCAGTAAGCATTATATTGGAAAAACCTCACGACCTGTAAAAATAGACGATCTCAAAAATTAATTTAAAAAACGAGAAAAATGTGCCTTCATACTTGTGAAAACGGTCATACAATTCAATGCGTTTCAAAAATGAACACCTGTATAATAATATTTAGGGGTCATTTTTTTTCTATGCTCCCCAACTATAACTTCAAAGACAAATGGCGCCGCTACGAATCTGGAAAAGAATCGTTGGATTTATGACACACAAATGTATTTATTGAATTTGAATGTGTTCGCTAATAGGAACACACATATGGAAGAGAAATCTGCATTTTTAATTGAAGAGATGGATTATCTAATGAATTTTGAAGTACTTATGCGAAAATGTGTCACGCGAACGAAACGATTGCAGAAACGGTTTTGTATACATTCCTTTTAAAATTATTGTTATTTAGCATTCATGAAATACTGCATTTGAATGCTTTGACGTCTCTAAATAATTTCTTCTATGACTCAAGTCTTTGAACATATAAAAAAAAATCCTCTTATATGTAGCTGTCTGATTTTAATTTTTAAATAATTAACAAGTGATACTCAAAATCTGAATGTAAATTATTTAATAATTGCCTATTAACAGAAGAGGTTGTGCCTTATGTCAAAAATTGTTTAGGTTTGTTTTATCACATTCGTCAATCATAAAAAACTTCTATACTATCATTCTATCTCAGTAGATCCGGCAGAGATTTTCAAATTCCTGCATTAATTAACTTTATTGGATTATAATATATTCGAAAATATTTGGTTGAGGATCATCAAACTATAACTGAGATGTTTATTTTTATTAATATCTAGCAACTTTCGATTTTATGCAGTTTTATTTAATTTCAAAGCTTGTTTAATTGTTCTACTTTCCCAAAATTTGTTCCTGAAAACGTTAATTGTGAATAGTTAATTTTATTTCAAAAAACGTAATTTCAATTGTAGACCATATTTCAAAAAATATAAATTGTATTTCAGTTCGTGAAACATATTTCAGAAAAAATTTAAGTCAAATTAAGTTTTAATAATAAATTATTATAATGTTTAATATAATACGTCTGTACAGGGTGATTAACTATATTTTGACCCCCCTTTAACTTTTTTGTTTTAAGACATAAAAAAAATGTGAAATACAAAAGTTGCACGATTTTTTGTGAAGTTTTCGAAATTAACAGTAGAAAAACAAATGAAGTACAAACAAAATAGCCGCGAATGTTAATTTCGTTATTTTAAATGGAACACCCTATATATTTTTACATATTTGGATAGAACGTATCCTGCTGAGCACAGTCATATATGGTTTGTTGGGTCCATCTCTAACAATAAGCGAGATAATATTAAAAATTGAAAAGACGGTTTTTTATTAAGAAATTAAAATATTTTGTAATTGTTGGACGTCTTTCAGGTATTTCTGCCTTGCTATAAACGTTGGTCCTCCGGAGCACCGTTACTGAGATATGGCCCTCCAAAGGAGTCTTATTATTTGGATATTTTTTTAAAATAACTTTCTTTCTAACTAAGATAACGCAATGAAAATTGTAGGTAATAATCATACCATAATGGTCTTTAACTATCACAACTAAGAAACGTAAGAATTCAAATGATAGCACGCGAAAGTAACAATCATTAGTATTATTACAACGAAACTGTCACCATGAAAGGTGCCTACTATATGAATTTGTTAAAAAAAAGTTATTGTTCTGAGCCATACATTATTTAAAAAAAAAATTCTAACTAAACCACGCATAATGCGAAAAAAGTAGGTACATTTTTTCTTCAAAAAAGCCTAATTCATAAAAAACTAATATATTTTCCTTCATAATTCAAAGGAATGGTACATCGCTTTTTGGGATTCGGGTTCAGCATAAAAAAAAACACAAAATCTATGTACTCATGTTTCGGTACAAAATTGTGGGGCTGTGCAATTAGTAATTGTTTGAAATAATTATGATGCTTCCTGAAATATAATTGCAGTTCTCCAAAATCTAACTGCGGGTTCTTAAATTTAATATTACCCATTGAATTTATTAAATGTAAGTATACCTCCTTGAATTGCCTTGTTACTTTAAATTTCCCCGGAAAATATACGTAATATGGAATCACGAACGTAACAGTGAACGTTTTCCAACGCCTACTCATTTTCCTCATGCAAACTTGCATAAGTTTACTTAACTTACCCACGCATGCACGCGTGCAAGTCACCTGGCATATTACCACATAAAAGCAGACCTTTTAAATCTAATCTGAATACAAAAAAAACGAAATCCTCCCAAAACGAAATTTATCTGCGAAGCGTAACTGAAGACAATAACTTATCGTGTCAAAATGTGATATTCAAATCTACTTCCGTGGTATTTAGATGTTTCCATTCTGCATAATTTGAATAAGATATGTTAATTATATGATACAGTTACACAGAGATGGTCAAATAAAAAAGATTTGACAACGTATATAAGAGTATGACGAGCATCATTTCTCTCATTACAATAAACAGAAAAAAAAAATAGTAACATTTATTTCTACAGCGGTTTCCAAGGGTTTTATATAGGATGGGAATGAGGCGTTTCAGTTGTCAAAATTTATTTGATATTCTTTCTAAATAAAAATTTTTTATTAGATTTTTTTAGTAAAATGCACAGTTTACAGGTACGGGAATAAAATACCATGACAGAGTTGGGGAATCATAGACAAAAGTCAAATGGATATGGTCGTTACCAGCAAGTTAATAATTTAGCGACCATTTATAAGACATTCCTAATTTTACGAAAAAAAAAAAAAATACGATCTATGTTCACATAAACTACACTGAAAGAAATGCACCTCATTCTATAGTAGAATTCTAAACGTATTATAAAAACATTGTATACTATATGTGACAGATAAACAGGTGAATATTGGATATAAAACGCGTATTACTAACGCAAACAAAATGTATTAAACTGTTGTATATTCTATATGAGTTAAAAACATATGACATTAATTTTCAGAAATTGTATTGT